TTACTAACCTTTCCTTTTTTCTTTTAATTTTGGGGAATGGTAAAAAAAGTAAAAAATAATGGCCCCTGGTTTGATCAAAACCACTTTTTGAACTTATAGTTCTTTCCTTCCCTTTACTATGTTAGTGTAGAGCTATAAATGATGAATGCATGGGAGACTGATTATTTTTGAATTCTTTAGAGGAAACCTCAGTTTCTTTTTACCTTTTTAGTTCATATTGGAGATTCTTGAGCTGCATGCATGGCTTTCATATATTATATCCTTCAACAAAGAGGTGAGAACTTAAACTTTTCAGTGAGAATATTTTATGTTTGTTGGCATATAACATAGAAAAGTCTATTCTACTTGTGAAATCTTCCGCGAATTATTTTTGTTGTCACTCTCGGAAATCGAGGATTCGGTGATAAAAAAAATTTGTCACCATTGACACATTTCATGTGGTATTGAATATGTATTCTATATTATCCTTCAAGAAAGAGATAAGGTCAAAGACATGGAAAAATCGATATAAATGTTGAAAAAACTTTCCCAGTAAATATTTTATGTTGTTTGACTATTAGGCTAATCTGAACAAGTTATATCATGGATCCTAGGTTCCTGATATAGTACTAGATAAGAGATCAACGGCATACAATAAAGGAAGAATATTTATCCATGGTGCAAATGAGAGCACTGCAAATGCATACAGAAATCAATTTCAAAATGATTTAGCCATGTTTCTAAGATCAAGATCAGAAGAAATGAAAAGAGGTGGATCCATGTTCTTAGTTTGCTTGGGGAGGACTTCTGTGGACCCTACGGACCAAGGTGGGGCCGGACTTCTCTTTGGTACTCATTTTCAAGATGCTTGGGATGACCTTGTTCAAGAGGTAGTTTATGATAATTTACTTTTAATTTATACGACTATATAAATACTATTTATTTATTCTTATTTATATCGTCAATACTTTCTCTTCTACACTCCACTAATTATTTGACTTGAATCTTGCATGCAGGGCCTAATCACTAGCGAAAAACGTGACAACTTCAATATTCCAGTATTTGCACCAAGTCTACATGACTTCAAGGAGGTAGTCGAAGCCAATGGCTCCTTCATCATAAATAAGCTCGAGGTTTTCCGAGGAGGAAGCCCTTTGGTGGTTAGCCACCCCGATGACGCGGCTGAGATTGGCCGCGCCCTAGCCAATAGCTGTAGGAGCGTTAGCGGCGTTCTAGTTGATGCGCACATTGGTTATCAACTAAGTAACGAGCTCTTCTCTCATGTTGAAAGCCGAGCCACAACCCAAGCTAAGGAGCTACTAGAAAATCTTCAATTCTTTCACATAGTGGCATCTCTTTCTTTAGCTTAGTGAAAAAGGAATGAGAGAGAGAGAGAGAGAGAGATGTGCATAATATAGGTGGGGAAAGGAATGTGTTTTCCTTCACTTTTGTCTCCTTTTGTACCTTAATCCAAACAAAATAAATGAAGTTAAGGAAAATATTTCATTCCACTTCCTTTATAGATACAATATTATTGTCTCTATATATTATTCATTTTCAGATACCCACCTAGCATCAGTATAGATGACATTAAGCGACATGTCTAATTAAATGGCCATATATCATTACATTTAATTACTAATCATTTAAACATGCTTCGTGTAGCATTATTCTTCTCGCAAATATGTCTGCTGTGGATACAGTATGAATATTTCAGCAACTTCTGGTGATCTAAAGCTCACCCTCTTCTTCATCTTTCCGTTTTGATTTCTGCGAAGTGATGAATTCTCTGGCTGCCATTTTTCACCTTCATCAACTTTCATTGATTTCTGCGAAGTGATGAATTCTCTGTCTCTAGATTCAGGCACCAAGTCTTCATGATCTCTTTCAAACGATGGATGAATTCTATTGGAAGAACAATGTTTAGACACATTAAAACCTGGTGATGATAAAATGCATTCTTCTAGAGTTAACACTTTACAGGTATTCTTCAACAGCGGCTGCTGCTTCTGATGTTTTTGCTGATTTTCTTGTCCATGGGATTGTTTCTTCTTTATTTTCGACGTGGCCCATAAGCATCTTGGCTTCATACATTCCAACATTGATGCTGTTAGGCTGCCATTTTTGTCATCAGAGTTTTTCTTGGATAATCCATCGGACCAAAAACCGCAGAAATATGATCCCATTTTTACTCAAAAGGAAGGAATTATGAACAAGTTGAAGATAGCTAAGACTGACTGGATTATAAAGGGAACCTTTGACGGAATCTACAACTTGAACTTTCATAGGAAGATACTGGCTGGTAATTAGCAACTTGGATAAGTCTGAATCAAGGTAATTAGACATAGTATATACCGTCTAACAAATGGATGGCTTTTATTCTTATGTTATAATTTCTATACATATTATTCATTTTGTACAAGGAGGCATTGGAGTTAATGGAACTCTGTCGACAAGGAAATTTTTTGTATTAGTGAACACGACAATGTAAATTTTTGGCTTGTTATAGGTGATTATAGCACGGGTGATAAGATAGAGTTGGGCCGTGGGTAAGATGAGATTTTATATTTTCTTGTAGCATGTTCAGTACGTGAACTATGGGACACCATTAAAGAAAATATAATGATTAATGACTAACGAAGGTGTTTGGTAAGTGGAGACGTGTAATATCGAAAAATATTAAACATGAAAAAGAAANAAAATATAATGATTAATGACTAACGAAGGTGTTTGGTAAGTGGAGACGTGTAATATCGAAAAATATTAAACATGAAAAAGAAACATTACTAATATTAGGATTAGCTAGTAATAGTGTCTCGACATATCGCTTAGGAGAATGAAAAGTATGATAGATAATTGTTAATTTTTATTTTTTATTCTACTTCAATACTGACTAGTCGATCTTATCAAAGATGTTATTATTGTGGACCAAACTAGCTAGACGAGTACAAAATCGTTGAGTTTTTTCTTCTTTAAAAATGTTTAGTGGTAAAAAATTTGTTGAGTAACTGCTGCAAGGGTTTTCTTCTATATTCAATTATTTAGAGAGGGAAGTGAAAAAATTTTGCAATCGAAATAGATTTAAAATAATATTCATATTCTTGTTACCAACTATAAAAAATCATTGTTCATTTGAACGACCACTTGGATCGATCTTCTTTCTATTGCTCTTTATTCTGGGTCACAATTGACTTCCATTGGGAAAACTGATACTGATCATTCTTCGTCTAAAGTATTTTCTGTTCTTTCAACTCTCAACATTATGTTTCAGGTCCAACTTGACTGAGGTTATTAGCATTGATCAATTATATAGAGACACACAATTTGACATCTATGACAGGTAGGTGGAATCACTCTCCGACCACAGTTTAGAAAAAAAAAATAATAAATAGGTCAAAAAAATCCAAATGCGATCGGTTATGGGAAAAAAAATTAATGGGGTGAGAGAGGCTCGAACTCTCGACCTCAGGATCACTCTTTAAGCTATGAGACCTACGCGCTAGCCAACTGCGCCACCACCCCTTTTGTTGTCTCTTCCAAATAAATATAATATTATTTTAACAATCTTACACGAATTTAAGTGAGAATCATATTCGCACATGCATGTTAATTTTTAAAAAATTAAGTGTAGAAGAAATATAAATTTTAAAAATTTATAGTTGACTATGTGTTCTTAATTAAACAAGTTTGACCATGTTGACGTTTTGACAAATGTGTTGGTTCATAAAAAATTTCACACACCAAAGTTTTGATTAAAATATGAATTTATGCTGCACGAAAAAGTGATGAATTGAAAATAAATTATAAATAATAAGTACATTCATCATTTTTATCCATTAGCGAGATAGGTCTGCATGAAACATAACCCTGTAAGACCAGTTTTTTCGAGCAAGCACTATCGGCATATGAACCACAAGAAAGGCACATAAAAGCTTGAAGGGGAAAAAAGTAGTAGGTCGATTTCGATGTATCAAAGGCTGTGTAGATAGCAGATAATCAAATGAAAATCTGAAGATGAGCTGATTATACTATCATCAATTTTGTTTAACTCGAACTCTTATTCTGAAGAAGGTACTACTATCAGTAGAATCGTTCTATCAAGAAGATGTCGACAATTAGTTATCTTGCCAAAACTGAAGCTAAATTGACTGAAAGCTTTAGCACTCTTGCCTTCTATCGGAATGTTGAAGCGCTTGGATCTTATGTTCGATCTATTCTTCGTCCTTTACAGAACCAAAGAGCCTCTTCACATTCTGCTCTCACTAGAAGATGATCTTACACCATTTGCTCTGATTGTGCTCGTGCCCACAATTTCTTTCTCAACAAAGACGCCCATGTCTTCTTCACTGATAAAAGTAAAAGCATACTGAACTCTGATCTCCATTCCTCACTTCATTTTATATTGTATATCTGCACGCTCTCTCAGCCATTCAAGCACTTTTGCTCCCTCGAGTACCTCTTGTACCTATTCAACATCACAAAAAGATCGTGTTATGGTCAGAACTCAGAGGCTCTGTGCATGTTATGATGGGAAAACAATTGATAATTTGCCAACATCCTTTCATATTTTTGGGTTATGTTAAGAAGAAGAATATGGTGAAACACTACTTTGTCCGATATTAAGATCCGAACTAAAGGAGCATTGGTATTTCAAGAATAGATGAAATGGCATTACCTGTCCTCGTACACGCTCCTCGTCATATTCTTGGTTATGACGTTTGAATTCAGCAATCGAGTTCTCAACCTCCTTGATCAACTCATCTGATAAAATCTGAACCACAATAAAGCATATCTTTTGAGTCCTAATGCCTGAGAAAGTTAGAATTCTCGTAAAAGGAATTTTTTCCTAACAGGATGTATGGTTTTCTCAATTAGATATATCGCTGCAAGGTTCACTAAAGAAACAACAAAGATATTAATAAGAACCTTCGTCTTGATAAGCAAATGAAACACTTACTAAAATAAATGAAAATTGTTATGATCTAAAATGAAAAGTAGAGAAACGGAGAAATTTTTTGAGAGCCAACTTTTTTTATTCCCTCACTTGACTTCTTGAATGTTGTTGATACAAATGCATAGACACTGGTAACAGCACATGGGAAACTACAGAAAAGTTGGGTAAACAGAATACAAAAACCGGAATCTACCTGCAAATTTTCACGTTTAAATATGTCACCAACAGCTATATTCTGCTTTATAATACTTGTTATATTTTCTTTTTGGCTTTCCATGAACTCCTTCACTGCCTTCGGACTTGATAGAGACGCCATTTGTTGTTCACTGAGTTTCATATTTGCCTACATCAACAAAGTACTTTTAGTGATTATATATTCTCTTGTTGCAATGAACTTCTAGGGAATGCTTGATATGCAGTATTGAATGAGATTGGACAAAATAATTGTCAGGATTTTAGCTATTTTTCTCCCTTTTGTACATGCCACTAGAAGTCTAAGCAATTAAAATGGTTTCTGGTGAAAATGGCTCTGCAGGCGCTAACCTGAATTTGCAAGAGTTGGGCTCCATAAATCTGCCTGGCTTGTTCCTCAAACAATGATTGAGGAATATCAACTTCGATCATCTAAGAAAATGTACAAGACAATGAATGAGATATATACTGTGCAAAATCATTACAATATGAATAATTTTGCATCCTATGACATGGAAAAAAAATACTTTCTGTAATTGATCTAGAATGGCATTGTCCGTTGCTTGTTCCTTAGCTGTTTGCTCCACTTCAAGAAATTTCTGCAGCAGCGTTTCCCTCACCTACAGATTTTTATGAATATAAAATTCCATTGAGATCCTTGTGATATGTATTTCAGTTACATACAAGTTTGACAATTTACCTCTTCAATGGTGGTGCATCCAGAGAGAATCCTATCAGCGAGGGAGTCATCTAGTTCAGGTAAATCTCTGTAGAATAGTTCTTTACATTCAACCTAAACAAACAAAAGTATATTCATTCTAATATTCGGTCAATAAAGTGTTTTTTTGGGAGATATTATTTGAACCAAGAATGATTTTTTTGGAGAATATGTGGCTAAGAAGTAAGGAACAAGCAAAATTATTTTATTGGGAAAACTTGTGGTTAGGAAATATTATGACGAAGAATGATTATTAAATAAGTTGCCAAACAAACGGCAAAATGTAAAGTGGCTTCCATAAAGTACGAACTGCTTGGTTCAATAAAAAATCATGCTTTCACTTAATACATACACAGAACTCCTTGTTAAGGAAATAATCAATCAGAAAAATGATGAAAAGATGGACCAAAGTCAAAGAGCAAGTTTTATGAGGTAGCAACTTGTGATGAAGCAGCAAGCAGCTACCATAAATTGCTAACTTGGTATCTGGTACAAAGATATTCAGGAGCCAAGCAAGAACGGGGAAAAAGGTAAAGCTGATAATAGTATATATTAATTTGTGTTTCAAGTGAGCAACTTCATAACATTTTACAATAGGAAAGGCAAGAAAATAAAAAAGAAAAAAAGAAATATAGGCATTTCCGCATATGTGTATAACATTTAGTCTTCAACTGTCATTTATTTGATATATGACTTACTCCAAACGGAAATAAAACTTACTGTAAATTGAGCACTAACACCGCGAAGATCTTCTTGTTTCCACGATTGGGGAAATACATAAGGAAAATACTTTGTTTCACCACGTTTTATTCCAATAACTGAGTCCACGAAATCAGGTAGTATTTTATCTCCATCTTCTGTATCAAACTGAAACCCTGGAAAAGAAATAAATTTGAAGCCCTTCAACATTCTTCAATCCTTTAGACAAACCGTAGCAACCTCGATTAAGTCCAACTAGTAACATAAACGATCCAGATATTATCCTTTCATCATTTTTTCAGGTAAAAAATATGAGAAAAATTAAGCATGAATAGTTATCACCCTGCATCCCACAATCTTCATGTCCTTCACGCAGAAATAAAGGCTTCTTGGGGAAGTCACTCATTCCTAAAGACAGATGAATTTCCCAGAGAACATATGACGTTCGCTGTTTTCTTGGATATGGAGACAAAAGAAACTTGTGTCCATAACGCTCAACTAATGCTACAAGTCAAATGTAAGGGCTGCTCCAAAAATTAATAATTCGGGGAAAAGAATAATAAAGAACGTGCAATTTGAACAAAGGAACAGTACTCATGACTAGATAATCACAGACACTGAAAGAATAACTAAGTTATCATGCAAACCTTTACTATCAGCAGATGGTATTCTTTTAGCAGCTGATTCGTCTTGCTCGATTGTTGTTGCTGATATATCAAGAACAGCAACATCACCTACCTGGAGAGGTATTACATAACTTAGATGAGAATGACTGGTAAAGATTTGCTTAACAAGTTGAGTTTGAATTCTATGAAATACATTGAAGAATAATGCAATCTTTATGCAACTCCATGTGATAGATACAGTGTACACACTAAACGGATAAAGGGAAGTAGAAAATAAAGAAATCAATCTTCCCAATTCCAAAAACTATTCAAAGAGAAGTGGGAAAAAAAAGGACCTAGGAATGTTGTAAAACTGAAAAACCTGAAGCTTAAGGTTAAATGATTTTGTGTGACCATACCCAACCTAACCAGCCCTGCTCCTAAAGGGAACAATAAAAGAAAGGAAGAAACTCGCTTATGACATCAAAAGTTCCACTATGAAATGGTTGAGAGACGAAGCATGATTCGTTTACCTCAAGTCCTCTTTCAGTTACAATTTTTAGTGCACCAAGGGCCTTGTGTCGACGTCTTAATTCCTGTTCGGCAGCAGTCTGAGCATCTATTTCTTTGTCAATCTCAACAACAATCTTCAAATTCTGATATCCATTTTCAGGTATCCATTTGACTTCAGGTGCCACATCAACGATAACATCATATCTAAATCAAGAGACTGAAACTGTAAACTGCACCAGGCACATGAAGTGATAGACAAGTGTAAAATGAAGGAACATATAATAATACAGTCAAAGGATCAAACACTTAATGAGCTCATCCTAAGAAACTTTAGGCCAACACCAATGGGCATATCCTTCTAATCCCATCTCCACCCCTACGTAGATTTGTTCCCTTTCCCAAATATGGAAACGATTGAGAGGTATTTGTGAAATTTATGATGCACCGACACAGACCCGTGTGTCCGACACGATACGTGTCGGATATGCTAACACGCGATTTTTCAAAAAAGTACTGACATTACAAGTCTTCGACACATTGATTAAATTCTTTAAAATTCTTAATTTATATAGTATAAATTTAGTTTTACATCTCTTAAATCTTTGAAATATGAGTACCTATTTATTATTTGCTAATAATTTTGAGTTAAAAATATATAATAATTTTTAATAAAAAAAGAAAAATGTTTACAGTGGAGTGTTTAAGGAGTATCGATATCGACATGTGTCGGACACAGACACTACCCTAGTTGAAGTGCCTGTGAAATACATATAAGCATTTACCCGCAAATTTATTACAGTACCATGAAACTTATTGACAATAAAGGGTTTCGTAACCTTAAAAATGATCACAAACCTCAGAGATTTCATAGAAGAATAAGTCTTTTCCATCTCTGGAAACTTCGTTGAAATGCGGACTGAGTCTTCTAAGGCTCTTTTACTCACCTATGAAGTAGCACCAATTGAAGGTAATTGGCTTCAGCAAGAGTGATAAAATCCTTATTGTAATATGTTACTAAAAGGTGAGAAAACAAATATCTTTTCAGTAGAAAGATTACAATGATTTATATTATAAAAAATAAAGCCAACATCTTATGTATTTAGTTCTCTTTTTCACTCAAAGCATCGTAAAAGCTCTTCTTAGTTTAAGTAAATAAATAATTTCCATATGCATTAGACCAATTTCATAATACAAGGAGCTTAGGGTAACTACAAACATTCAATATGACAAATAGATTACTGGGCAAGAAACACACCGAAGACATGGCATGTGGAAGAGTTCTCTTCAGAATAGATTCAATTGTCGCCTTCTGAACGGTTTCCTTCCCAACGTAACCTATGAGAATGCTTTCTGGAACATTCTTCCCTGCACGAAACCCAGGGACCTAATAGAGACAACAAGCAATGTAACAGTAAATTTATATCCCATGATACAAGTACAGGAATGTGTTTCATTACTTGCTATTACTTGAATCATTTCTTCAGCAGCATGAAAACAGATGAAAAATTAAGAGGAAAAATCAGCATTTGAAAAAATGAAAATTCATAAAAATCTAGCCGCACAAGAGTCATCTTCCATCACCAGCACTTGAACATAATAATTCTGAACTCAGGAAAAACGAGACTAAGACTACATCTATCATAATGAGATCCTAAATTTCTTGAGACTCACTTGTTTCACACAAAAGTGGTACCAAAATTCCCAAAAGGACTTGTTTCAATGCAATGATACAAGATAATTTCCAAAATTAAAGTGTGCACAATTGGATCATTGATTCTGATAATTTATAGACAGTTGAAAAAGTATTAAAGGCTAGATACTGAGCACCTTTGCGCGCTTCATAAACTCTTTGATGACTCTTCGGTAACAATCGTCGCATACTTCAGCAGGAACTTCAACGCTCAACCTTACCTTCAGACAGGAAATTCGACGCTTATAACTCGAATTTTGAAGAAAAACAGTACGAGCAATAAAATTGAAAATTTCAAGGTTGTTTATCTTAATTGATGACAGTCCCAACGAAATGTGATCTTGGCATGAAAAATATGGACTTTGATGTTGGACATTAAATTAAACAAAAGAATCGGAATTTCGAAAGAGATATTCACTGAGCAGACCAGAATTCAAAGACTTGGAAGATAAACTCTATGAAATTCAAGAAATATTCACTCTTTCCTATTATTCAGCCAACATTGCTAACGCGCAGACTATTTTTATTAATTTCATAATCATTTTGATACTGAAAAACTCTTAAATTGAACAATTCATTACAACAATAAGAGGGAGAGTATGCAAGAAAAATACGAAAAACAGAAAACTCACTCTAGAATTGGGTTCTGGGGTTTCAGTGACTTGAATATCAGCCGGGAGTTTGTCAGTTACAGTGCTATCGACAGCGGAGGGCGCTGCTGATACCATAAACCAAGTCGAACTTAATTTGTGGGGCGGGTTTTGTAGGAAAGACAATTGGCGGGAAGATGGAACTGGCAATTTCTTGAGAGGATTGAACAATAGTCTGCTATCGGATTGAAGAAAATCATTCTTGAAAAGTGAAGGAGAAGAAGGGGAAGAAGAGACTACAGAGAGGTTGAATCGGGGCAGAGCTGGTGCTATTGCTGAAATGCAGAACTCCATCTTTGGCCTGAGCAAAATCCCTTGGAGCGCTGAAGAAGTATTCTGCTCTAACCTCTTTAGGATAAGATATTTCACTGGGTAAATGCTCGTTTTTCATAGGAATATTTTCAACTTACCGTTAAGCCAGGTTTTGGTACAATACAAATTCTTTAAATTTTATTATTTCTTAATTTATTGTTAATTATATATTCTCCGGATAAATAATTTTATACCAAAACTTATAATTTTTTTTATACTTTTTAATCATATATTCTTCAAAAAATTATTCTTTATAAAATTTATTTTCAAAAAGTCTACATCACAGACTTTTAACAATTATAAGTTGATTAAATTCTTTAAAATTCTTAATTTATATAGTATAAATTTAGTTTTACATCTCTTAAATCTTTGAAATATGAGTACCTATTTATTATTTGCTAATAATTTTGAGTTAAAAATATATAATAATTTTTAATAAAAAAAGAAAAATGTTTACAGTGGAGTGTTTAAGGAGTATCGATATCGACATGTGTCGGACACAGACACTACCCTAGTTGAAGTGCCTGTGAAATACATATAAGCATTTACCCGCAAATTTATTACAGTACCATGAAACTTATTGACAATAAAGGGTTTCGTAACCTTAAAAATGATCACAAACCTCAGAGATTTCATAGAAGAATAAGTCTTTTCCATCTCTGGAAACTTCGTTGAAATGCGGACTGAGTCTTCTAAGGCTCTTTTACTCACCTATGAAGTAGCACCAATTGAAGGTAATTGGCTTCAGCAAGAGTGATAAAATCCTTATTGTAATATGTTACTAAAAGGTGAGAAAACAAATATCTTTTCAGTAGAAAGATTACAATGATTTATATTATAAAAAATAAAGCCAACATCTTATGTATTTAGTTCTCTTTTTCACTCAAAGCATCGTAAAAGCTCTTCTTAGTTTAAGTAAATAAATAATTTCCATATGCATTAGACCAATTTCATAATACAAGGAGCTTAGGGTAACTACAAACATTCAATATGACAAATAGATTACTGGGCAAGAAACACACCGAAGACATGGCATGTGGAAGAGTTCTCTTCAGAATAGATTCAATTGTCGCCTTCTGAACGGTTTCCTTCCCAACGTAACCTATGAGAATGCTTTCTGGAACATTCTTCCCTGCACGAAACCCAGGGACCTAATAGAGACAACAAGCAATGTAACAGTAAATTTATATCCCATGATACAAGTACAGGAATGTGTTTCATTACTTGCTATTACTTGAATCATTTCTTCAGCAGCATGAAAACAGATGAAAAATTAAGAGGAAAAATCAGCATTTGAAAAAATGAAAATTCATAAAAATCTAGCCGCACAAGAGTCATCTTCCATCACCAGCACTTGAACATAATAATTCTGAACTCAGGAAAAACGAGACTAAGACTACATCTATCATAATGAGATCCTAAATTTCTTGAGACTCACTTGTTTCACACAAAAGTGGTACCAAAATTCCCAAAAGGACTTGTTTCAATGCAATGATACAAGATAATTTCCAAAATTAAAGTGTGCACAATTGGATCATTGATTCTGATAATTTATAGACAGTTGAAAAAGTATTAAAGGCTAGATACTGAGCACCTTTGCGCGCTTCATAAACTCTTTGATGACTCTTCGGTAACAATCGTCGCATACTTCAGCAGGAACTTCAACGCTCAACCTTACCTTCAGACAGGAAATTCGACGCTTATAACTCGAATTTTGAAGAAAAACAGTACGAGCAATAAAATTGAAAATTTCAAGGTTGTTTATCTTAATTGATGACAGTCCCAACGAAATGTGATCTTGGCATGAAAAATATGGACTTTGATGTTGGACATTAAATTAAACAAAAGAATCGGAATTTCGAAAGAGATATTCACTTAGCAGACCAGAATTCAAAGACTTGGAAGATAAACTCTATGAAATTCAAGAAATATTCACTCTTTCCTATTATTCAGCCAACATTGCTAACGCGCAGACTATTTTTATTAATTTCATAATCATTTTGATACTGAAAAACTCTTAAATTGAACAATTCATTACAACAATAAGAGGGAGAGTATGCAAGAAAAATACGAAAAACAGAAAACTCACTCTAGAATTGGGTTCTGGGGTTTCAGTGACTTGAATATCAGCCGGGAGTTTGTCAGTTACAGTGCTATCGACAGCGGAGGGCGCTGCTGATACCATAAACCAAGTCGAACTTAATTTGTGGGGCGGGTTTTGTAGGAAAGACAATTGGCGGGAAGATGGAACTGGCAATTTCTTGAGAGGATTGAACAATAGTCTGCTATCGGATTGAAGAAAATCATTCTTGAAAAGTGAAGGAGAAGAAGGGGAAGAAGAGACTACAGAGAGGTTGAATCGGGGCAGAGCTGGTGCTATTGCTGAAATGCAGAACTCCATCTTTGGCCTGAGCAAAATCCCTTGGAGCGCTGAAGAAGTATTCTGCTCTAACCTCTTTAGGATAAGATATTTCACTGGGTAAATGCTCGTTTTTCATAGGAATATTTTCAACTTACCGTTAAGCCAGGTTTTGGTTCAATACAAATTCTTTAAATTTTATTATTTCTGAATTTATTGTTAGTCATATATTCTCCGGATAAATAATTTTATACCAAAACTCATAATTTTTTTATACTTTTTAATCATATATTCTTCAAAAAATTATTCTTTATAAAATTTATTTTCAAAAAGTCTACATCACAGACTTTTAACAATTATAATTTTAGAAGAAGTTCGATATATCTTTTATTAAGCGATAGCTACTTTAGGCAAGAACGGAAACAAAGAGATTCACGCTTTTGACGGAGCGAAATCTGAGTGAAAGGTTCACATTTCGTGGCATCAGTTCATGGGTGTAGCTCATTTTTCATAAATAAGTTATTGTTTACAAATTATGGAAGCTCTCAAGCACATAAAAAAGTTCAATATGTTCATCATTTGATCATTCAGAGCATATTAATCCATGTCTTAGTTGGTCGCTAAACTTTTTTACTCTAAATAGATTTTAAATTTAAAACTTTATAAAAATTAAGTCACTGAATTGACTTTTCATTACACATTGGTCATTGAACAATCTAGTTAGTAACTAGCTACAAATAACTGAAATTAAATTTAGTTACTTCGTGTGTTAATCGATTATTTGGAAAAAATCGAATGACTGAATGATAATTGACTTCTTGAACATCTGTTCATCAAATATCATCACACATAACTTGATCGAAAGACCATTTCATCCTCAATTATGATGAAGGGGAAAAAACCTCTATTGAAACTTCGATGACGCATAATTGTGACGTGACCCCAAGAGATTGGCAAATGGCATTAGATGAAAGCATGAATGATAAGCTACTTAAACGATCTGAGAGGGTGTTATGTGGAAATTAAAATTAAATTTTTTCAATAGATTGTAATATAAATTTTTGAAATGTGTATTTGAAAATTTATGAGACCGTGAAAGATGTGATTAATTGTTTGACTTTGATTTAAATTAAAATCAGATTTTTAATCCAAACCAAACTGAATTATACCATGCTATATTTAATTCAAATTCCACCATTTCAAAGAATCAGATTTTGATATATCAAAATCTCAGGGGAGGGGCTAAAATAAAATTAATAAAAATCAATGCTAAATTTTGCTAAAAGTGGTGTAGCAGTTGTTGGATTTTTGTTGTACAGAACATATTTTCCATAAATGACTTGCTAAATCAGAAGAACTATTGCAAAACAGTAAAACGGAATATTATTTCCAGAAAATGAATTGCACAGAATAAAAACAAAAGCATAAAAAAGTTCAGAATTCAGAATGAGGATGATCGAGGCGAGAACTAGGTTTTCTGTCCTTAAGACGTTTTTACTTCGTCACACGGTGCTTACGGTATGTAGTAAAGTGTCTCCCAAGATACAACGATCAGATGTTCTGGTTCGTTGCCTTGCAGTCGAAGTGCTGCTTCTGCAAGTATCTGATCGTTGTATCTTGGGAGAGAGTTGACGGTTGAGCAGTTTCCATCCACCACTCACGCCCAGTTAACGCACAATTTTAGCAAATTGATGGGTCAGTTAATAAACTATCAAAGGGAGGGAATTGATTGAATTTAAAAAAAAATTAATTTTTTTTTTTTTAAATTAATATTAACACAGGCCCACACCCACGCCCCACCCGCCCGGTCGGACGGACGGACGGCGCGTGTCCTTTGGATTAGTCTAGACATTGTCTAAAACTCCCCATTTTCAAAGACTATTAGTACCCCTTGGAGCCCAAACCCATATCCAAACTTGAAATTTATTAAGTGGTTCAAGGTTGTGTTTGCAACCTATGTGGAATTGGAACATTTTTCCAATTCTTTCCCATTTATTCTTCTTATTTATTGTCCAACTTTCAACCATAATTTCTCATTCATATTGAAGTGATTTTTTACAATTAAATATTCTACACTCATCTGCTCGGAACGTAGAATTTAATTGAACATTAATTTCAATACATCGAACATCAGGTCCCACTTAAAATTGTGGTCAAAGTTAACCCAATTGACCCACCACTTCCAACAGCAATGACGTATACTTTCCAATCTCCATCATTTACGTCTTCGATTTTGATGTTGTACGAGATGCAAATGGTTTTTGTATTTCATTATATTTTTCTGCATTTACGAATTTAATTTTTGTAAAACTAAAACATGGCCTATACTAAAATACTACTGTAAATGGCCTCATTTTGATGCAGCAATAAGAACGGAATGAGGGAATAAGAATGCCAAATTGAGGAGTGTAAGTTTCAGACAATCGCCAGTCGATGCTGATGCTCTATCGACGGTCTGGAACAAGAAAACCAGAGAATTGCCACGCCCGAGACTTGTTAATGATGCAGAATGCTACTTATCTAGTTTTGAAACGGTATACTCGATAACAAGCTAGCACCAAACCGTACTGAATGGCATAAGGAAGAAAATTATATTAAAAACTTGTTTATTATACTGAAAGGCAACAGGTTTGCAAAAACGTTGCTCCACATATTTCTTCAACATCAAGAAAAGCCCCTCACATCCAGACGGGATGAGGTAATGCCGTAATGGCGCTCTTGTGGATGTACGACTAGGCAACAATTTTAGGTTTCTAACTCTACATCTTCACAACATTTGAGGACGTGAATCTTAGCTAAGAGACTTATATTGTCACTAAATTCCTTCAAAATAATAATAAATCAATCTAATATGTAATGCAAACTGAACATAAGCTTATCGATATAAGGAACAATGGGCCCATCTTTTTCTCGGACGACCACTTCTTGAATATAGTGAGAGGGCAATGTAAAGAGACTTCCTCAACATTCAGATCATTTATCTGCATCCACATTGTCCGCTGCTACTGTCACACCAACTTCAGCCGGCCGTATAACTCGGTCATGGAGAATGTATCCAGCCTGCATCAAGTACAGAGAATCAGGTTGCTTCAGGTTCATAAACATAAATATCGACAATCTTTTTCTTATAAAAAGTGAGATAAATCACCTAGCCTCCATGTAAACAAATTAAATCAATCAACCGTATTGCAACTAAAGCGAAAAATATACAAGCTCTATCATTTTCATCCTCCAAACTAACAAATGAAAGACTGCATCTAAGATGATTCTTATGTAAGAAATACCAACAAAAATACTGTACTCGACTTTTTTTTTTTTTTAGTAAGATAATTCTTTGCAGATTTATTAAGATAACTGTAAACAAGATGGATACAAATTGTCCAATGAGCATACCTTTAGAACAACTGCAACATGATTTGCTGGCTTCGAAGCATCTGGTACTTGGAAAACAGCATTATGCCTGTTTGGGTCGAATTCTTCGTTCATGGCATCATACTTCTCTACTCCAAACTTTTTGAATATCTGCAGAAAACAAGCATGTGATTTTACCAGTAAACAAATGTTCAACAAGGCCTGTCACCATATGACGACTCAATTACATGACTCAACAACTTGCAAGGAAACACTAGAATTCAATCAGTCGGTCAGATCAATCATGTCAGATATACATCTGAAGAAGATGAAGGATAATCAAACCGGTTTGATTACGATACTGTTGTTTGCTGTACCATTGTCATTGAGCATTAGCAGAAAGTACCATTGTCATTAAGCATTAGCAGATAATGAGCATAATCTCAGTACAAGATGGTACAATTATTATAATTCTTTCATCAATATTAATCCATACAAATACATACCTGGTAGTTTTTCATTAAATAGTCTCATGATAAATTCTCTGCCAAGCAAATTTCCATCATGCATATTTATATATCCTCTTACTTCGCGTTATTTTTCACTTTGTTTTCACAAATTACAAATAGATCAACTTATTGGTAGTATTTTGTATGGCTTTTTAAAGGAAGCGCTCAGAAAAGATTCATGTCTCTCTGCCATTCTGACTAAAAAGCAATCAGCTTACAATGATATATTACAAGTATCATTATCATATCTTTTGAAAATATATAGTTAGAAATACAAGGGACTATCAGAAATATGTCTACAATTTATGCCAAAAATACTGTTGGTACCCAATATATTCCTGTACCAGTGCTATGCTGAACCTAAATGTGATTCATGAGTTCCTGGTCTGGTTTTTATAGATTTGAGTTTTAACATATTAGAGCATCTCCAAGAGATTCTCAGTTTTTAAATAGCATATTCTATCATTTGAAGAGTATCTATAAATTTAGCGAGTTAAAATTTTGAAAAACTCCAATAAGCTCTGTATATATAATATTTAGTTTTACTATTCCCAAAAAATATTTATTATTTTTCTCCATCTTTTATATTAACTAGTTTTTCTCTAGATTATTTTATTATTTTCCTAAAATTGAAAAACTTTGAATTCATTTAATTATAGAGAGCGAGTTTGGCTCCCCAGAACCCACTCCCTAAATTAAAATGTTAATTTAAAGAATCTCTTAGAGCAGGATTTTAAGGATTGACTTTTTAAAATAAACAATATCTCATGTTAAAGTGTTTCTAGGGGATGCTTTTACTCTGCCTAAAATGTATCATTATAGCAGGTCCATGAATGATAAGAAAAGAAAGACACAAATTGCAATACCTCTATTAGTTGTTTTTCAGTCATTTCAACACCTTCAAGAAGTGTTTTAAGTTGTGAAACAGCTCCAGCATCATCATTGGAAGTTTCAATCTTCAAAAAGCTCTCTTTTGCAACAGCAGAAGCCCTACCCAAGTTATCCGCCACATCCAAAAGGCTCTTTGTATATTGCAACATATATCCTAATCTTTTAAACATTTTATCTTCTACTTTAAATATTTGAATATAAATTCATTCTATGATCTAATAAATAAGAATAATCTACAACATACATTTCATATTTTCTAATTAAGATGATATATTCTTCAAATGGTAAATTTATATTTTCTAATTGAGAGATAATATTCTTTATTTTTTCTAACATTCTTTCTGATAGGTTATCTAATCCTTTAATTGTATATCCTGACATTTATTCATACAAATAATCATCAATTAATCCCTACGATTCTTTAAGATCTTAAAAGAGTCATTCTAATTTTAGCAAAAGTTTAATAGTTTTACCTTATGTTTGATCTGAACTTTTATTCTCAGAATCGAGTGACCTTCGAACTCGGAATCTGTAAATGGCTTCCTTCAACGGCTTCTTGCCTTCATGAAATTGTTACTATTTTAGCTACTTACTATCACTGTATCAATTTTTAAAGAATAAAATTCTAGACTTCTGTTAAAGAAAAACTTTCTTTTTGCTAAAATAAGAATGAAACTTTTTATCAGATTCTTCAAGAATCTATGGGAATAAAGATTTAGAAACTCATATTCATATCAAAAATATTGGAGTTTTATTTCTATCAGAATTTATACAAGACTTCTGTTTGGTACAAAGGGATTTTCAGAAAAATTGGTTTTTCAAACTGTGAATGGTTTTTAGATTAACTATGACTTACAACTCGAGATTTCAAGATAAGATGAGATGTCCTCTATCTATCACAATGACTCTATTTATACAAGTTTATGAGACTCTATTACATCATTGAGTACATCAGCAAAGGCACACTTGCATTTCTATTATCTTTCTCCTTGGGTCTACATTTTCACATGCTACTTTAACTTTTTATCCAAAGAGCATCTTTTTTTTCTATTATTGCTCTTTTTCTTCAATATCTTCACATATTGCTGTATTATTGTTCTCCATACATCTTTGTCAAAGGTGCTCTATTATTGTCCTCCTCCTTTATTTCTTCACATGTAGTTGGGGCACTCCCTTAACTGACATGATTCTTTTATAGTGGTAGAATATCTTGAAAATTGATGTATATCGAATCTTGTAATATAGTCCTTTAAAATTTCTAATTTTCCATATCCTTCATTGGATACCAACATCCAATTTTCATATTGACACAAGCGTGAGAATTTTTTATCAAACAATTTTTGGCAATGTTGTATATGGCTTTAATTCCAAGTGATTTCCTATGTCTGATCCATGATTTTGTCACTGTTGGAACTTTTCTATTATTTTCTGTAACATCTATTTGGAAATTGACTGCAACATATCCATATGAGATTATGTGTTTAACTAGATAGTAAACAACTCCATCATATTCTGGACTTGTTGAATAGAATTTCAAATATATTTTCTGTCTTTTGGCAAATCTGGATACTTCTTTTATGAATATGTCATCAAACTTCGCAATTTCAATCAAATCTTTTCCTGGATATATCAAATCCATGAATCCATAGTCTGTCATAATTTTTATAAATGAAGGGTATCCTCCTTCCATGGCTGTTATCTGGGATAAACATTATTTCTCGAAGAGATGAAATATGAAACACTCATTTTTATTTCATAAGCAATTTTGATTATTTCGGCATATTTTTCTTCTTTTGGATCTAAAGGAATTTTATCTTCTTGGTCTATGATGCTGATTGTTTTGGTATCTCTTTTATCTCCACGTATTATAACTTTTTTGATTGATGATACTGAAATGGAATCTCATTTATTATCAGTTAGTATGTTGTCACATTTGGGTCCACTGCTGCTTCCAGTTGTCCTTATTTGGTATTGATTTGGAAAACTCATTTCTGAGCTCTTTGGTATATCTGTCTCAGACAGTATACCTTTTAGTTGTGCTGCAATAGCATCAACTTGATTTTTGAGTTCTAATGCATATTTATGATGTTCGGTAGTGATATTCAACAATATTTTTATATTTGAGTTGAACATGTCTGAGATTTGGGTTATTCCAGAGTTTATATCTTCAGATTCTTCTTTAAGAAAATCTGTCATTTTTTGTATATGTAGGATAGATTGGTATAATTCCATGACATTGACTTTATCCATCAGCAAATTCTATATTTCTGCTGAGAAAATCTGCAAGAAAATTATTAACTCCTTTAATATGAACTATATCAAAATTATAAAATGCTAAATAAGCTTGTCATCTATGGAGCCTTCTATATTGAGGTTCTGATGATAGTTTACTCCTAATTAATCCTACAACTTGAGATTTATCAGTCTCAATAGTAAATTTCTTGGATAATAAAAATAATGAAAACTTCTTTATTCCTCTAATAATTGCTAGTAATTCTTTCTCATGAGTAGTATAATTTATTTTTGCTTCGTTAAAGTTCCACTTGAATATCTACAAATTTAATTTAAATCCGTTTTTTAATATTGCTGTCCAATATTTATTTGAGGCATCAGTATTAACAATCAAATTATCTTTTTCATCTGGTAATCTTAATTATGGTAAATTTTTGCATTCTTCTTTTAATGATTTAACTATTTCTGTATGTTCTTCATTCTATCATTTAGTATTTGTTTTTCTAAGTAAAACTTGGATTTTATGTCTTTTCTTAGAAAGGTTTTCAATAAATCATTCTGCCTAATTTAAACATCTTAAAAAATTTTGTATTTATTTTTTGAATTCTAATTTATCTGAAAAATTTTCTATATTTTTGGATATATGAGTCTGTAATTTTATCCATCTTTTATCTATTGATAATCCAAGAAAATCTATCTCTTATTTTTTTATCGTAGATTTCTTTTTGGATAGTACAATTCCTTCTTTTTTACATTCGCTAATAAATTGGATTAAATGATTTCTATGTTTATCTTTACTATTAAAACATATTAATATATTATTTATATAAATAATTAAAAATTTATTAAACTTTTTAAATATATTATCCATCTTTCTTTTATATATTTGTGGCATATTTTTAGATCAAATAGCATAACTAACCATTCTTGTTTTCCTTGAGGTGTGCAAAATGCAGTATATTATATACTATCTTCTTTCATTTTTATTTGCCAAAATCCTGATTTACAATCAAATTTAGAATAATATTTTTTTCCTCTTGCAATATTTATTAACACTTCTTTATTTGGTAGAAAGTAACCATAAAATTTAGTATATTTGTTTAATTTTTTATAATTTATGATCATCCTAGTTTTTCCTCTAATTTGTTAAGAATGTTTTATAATCATAAAGGCAGGACTACTATGAGCTCCATTACTAGGTCTAATAAGTTTTTGTTCTAGCAATTCTTTTATCTGATCTTTAAATTCTTGTGTATCTTCTATAGTATATATCATTGGTCTGACTCTTATTATAACATTTTCTGTTCATTCTATTTTAGTTTTTAGGTGATGTGGTTTCCAAAATAATAATGGATTTTCTCCATAAATTTTTTCTAATTGTTCAATTATTTTTCTATATTCATTTCTATTCCTGTTTTTCGAACTTTTTAATACAATATTCTTTTATTTTTTATTTCATTATATATAATTGGTTTTTTCTTCCATTTATCACCATGTTGAGCTGGCTGAACTCTATAAAGTTTAAATTCTTTAGGAATTTTTAATAAGTGTCTACAAGATATTTGTAGCATTATCATATAATTATTTTGTTTATAATATTGAAATTGTTGAATAAAATCATTTCCTAATAATATATCACACTCTAATTTATCATATTTATATATTTTATTTATTATAACTTGTTTACTTTCAAAAATTACATTAATTTTATCAGCACTATTAATTATTTAAGTACTTTCTCCTGTAACTCCAGTTATTTTTATATTACTATTATTGTTCCATGATTTTATTAAAAAACTTTTAAATATTGTTATATCACTTCCTGTATCTATTAAAGCACAAATTGTCATATTTGTTTCTACAATAGTAATTTGTATATACATAACTAATGAAAAACTTATCTGATTATTCATCTAATTCTTTTTACATAATGTAGTTTGTCCATTATGAAAAATATATAATCCTTCTCTTTTGATACTATAATCTTCTAATCCATTTAGAAAACTCATCCTTAAAAGTATATGGGAGTTTATATCCATACTCTTATCTATGTAACATGGTACTAAAAGATCTATTCATCCTATTTTTATTGTACTTTTACTTCTAAATCTGTAATATGTACATGTCTATCAAAATTTACATATTTATATGGCTCAATTTTATGAGTTATTAAACATTTATTTCTAATCGAAGTTATATGACATTCACTAGCTTCTGTATCTATTAATATATTTGATCCATTTATACCTTCTTTTCTATTATAATATTCTCGTTCTATTTTCATATTTTCAGCATTTCTATATAGTTTTACTTCTTTTATTTTGTTGATTTCTTCTAACTGTGTTTTATTAGGTACTTTAAAACTTTTTGATCTTTTAATTAATTTTTCATCCTTAAATATAATATTATTGGAACATTCTCTTTCATTTAATTTCGTTATTTCAGGTTTATTTTTTTTTATACTAAATTCATATTCTTCTGAAATTAAGCTTATTTCTTTACGTGGTTCTATTATTTTACTAATATCTTTACATTCTTTATGAACTTCAATATATGGTTTATTGGAATAAATATTCTCATAATCAGAATTAGTAAATGTATATAAAGTTCTATATTCTATAATCATAATTTCATCACCTGGTTGCATGATATCATCTCTTTGAAGCTTAAAATGCAGTCCTAAAATTTCATTAAAGCTTCTATTTTTTAATGATACACAATATTTTGGATAACACGTAAACATAACTTTTTGATATGTTAAATTTCCTTATATTGTTCCTAAATGACTATTTTTTAAATTTATTATTCTTCTATCATGTAAAGTTATAGTTAATGGTAAATCTATCCATTCTCTGAATAGTGATTTAAACATTATTTATATTCCTACTAAATAAATATATCGAATTTTTTCACTTTGTTTTTTACTGGTCTTTGTTAATAGTTCTTCAACTGTATTTTGTTGTTAAAATATTTAATTTATATTGTCCATAAATTGTTCTTACATCTATGAACTTTTCTATTTTGTGATATTCATTTATTGCTATTATTTCTCTTTTCCAAATTTTATCAAAGACTTCTCATTTTCCTATTTTTAAGTCTAAAGATAATTTTTGCAATTTTCTAAATTTGTTATTATCAAAAGTGACTTTTAATTCATATCTTTCTATTCCTTCATATTCTTGTATATTTATGTTATTACTTTCTATTTCTTCAATTCAAGTCCCAATTCATCATCTGTTTCATTTATATATACTTCTTGATTATAGTATTCTTCAATATCTGATATTTCACTTAATTCATTTTTTATTTCTAAATATTATTTTTGTAATATTCTAACTTTCTTTTTATCACAATTAGGGTTTATATGACATATTTCTCCACAATTACAACATTTACATTGACTTTTATTTTTCTTTTTATTCTTCTGTTGATTATATGAGTTTTTTTTTTTTTTGTAATATCTTCTTCTAGATTTTATATATATATATTTTTATTAAAATTCCTAAATTTTTTATTTTTATATTATATTTTATTAATTCTTCTTTCAGGATTACATTCCCATTGCACGGGAGTTTCCATATCTTCACAACATATTTTAATTAATTTTTCTGATTTTTTTTCATTAATTGTCTCTGTTGACATATAAATACAAGTCTTTTAAATAAAAATTTTATTCTTGAACCTAAAGTTCTAGGTATTCCAATATTATCTCTAACATATTTTTCAAATTCTATTTTAAAACATATTCCCCATGAACCTGGTAACTTATTAGAGTACATGTCTTGGTATACTTCTTGATTTTCATTACTATAAAATTGAGCATAATAGTGATTTTTAAATTCACAAGTATATTATTTAATTTTACACATATCACATATTATTAAATTTATTAATTTTATTCTAGCTCTATCTTTTTCAGCATTTCTTATCCAATTTTCTCCTAAAAATTCATTTGAAATATATTCTACTAATTTTTTTATACCTTGTCTATCTGATTTTATTATTTTTGTTTGTACATTTCTTTTTATTAATGTTTTTGTATCATTGCTTATTACTTCCCACCAATTTCTAACATCTCCTTCAAAGAATACTATTAAGAAATCTATTCTTTTTTCAGTATTTTCTCATGTGTCATCTTTATAATATAAAAAGAAAAATATCATTGAATCTGCCCAAATTAATAAGGCTTTTTTAGTATATATTTTACAATCTAAATTTAGTTTCATTCCTCCATGATTAATTGGTTTATCATAATTATCATTTAATTCAAACCTAACTTTATATTTAGAAAAATGCTAAACGACCCGTGAGGTTGACACCACGACTGACCACCCCCTCACAACTGAGGCATGGGTCCCCGTGTCGAATTAAAAAATATTTCCCCCCTTGTGTGTATGTGTGTCAACCGTGCGGTTCATCTAGCACGGTCCTTATATTCATTTCCTTTAAGTGGTTGTCTATCTCTTACTTTATTATAGAATTGTCTATATGGTTTATTATATATATATGTGCATAACTTTCATCTGTATTATGTAATTCCTGTTTAGAGGTTCTTGCTGGATTAGATCCTCCTCCAGTATTCATTAAAATTTGGTATTCACTTATATCAGTTAAACTTAATTGATCAAAATTTTCTATTAATAAATCTAATTCTTCATTCATTTTTATCTTCTTTTTCTTCTACTTTTAATTTTCCTAATGATTTTTTCTCTAGATTTTTCTTCATCTTCTAATATTTTTGGCAATATATTCTTTCTAAATTCATCATCCATACTTCCTGTTTCTATTACTATATTCTATTTTTCTATATGTTTCTTTCCTATTCGAGTCATTTCTTTTTCTATAAGTTTTTTTTATCTATTTTTTTATCTTTATTTTTTATATATTTTTTTAATTCTCTAATTTCAATTTTTAATATATTTATATCATTTCTTGTTTCTTTTACTTCATTTCTTAAAACTTGTACATCATTTATTAACATTTAAATTTTTCCATTTATTCGTTTATTGACATCTTAATTTTTTCTTATTTCTAACTCATAAGTTAATTTGCATTTTTTATCTTCCTTTTTATCAATTATCTTTCCAATTTTTCTCTCAACTGTATTTGGATCTACTAATTTTTCTTTTACTATAGTAAAATATCTACTCTCAAGTCTTAATCTTTCACATTTTAATTTTATTAATTGTCTATTATTTGATATTATCATTCCTTCTGGTATTAACACTATATTTCGTATTTCCTCTTGTATTTTTTTTTTCATTTTTATAAGTAATTTATTCAATTTTAAATGTGTATTATTACTTGCACTCATACTTTTCTTTGTAATATAAATT